GGGATATGAGGGGTCGACGTTTAGAGTATGACATATGACTCCAGAGTCGATCCCTTCCATATCAGCATGAGTCCAGGTAAAGACATCCAGGTTCCTTTTGAGGAAGCCCTCGACTTCAACCCTTAGTGATGAGGTCAAGTCTGAGCCTACTTTCAGCACCTTTGTTGGCTCGTTCTCGTCGACTTGGATCTCCACCAGTTACTCGACAGGTTGAGACCATACGACCTCCTCTTGGACTCTGGGGTCTATGTCCTCGACGAGCCATGATAGACCATCCTGGCTTCCTGCCTCCATGGCTGATTATATCCGCGCAAGGCATTAGAGTATGCAACCCTAGACTCGTACTGGTTGCTATTCATTTCACCTACACCATTTGGAGTAGGGAATTTGACCTTTTGGTGGTAAATGAAGGTGATTGCCCTCAACGCCTGAAGGGTCGGCCTTCCAATCACGGTGTTATACTGTGAACCTCCCTTTATTACCACAAAATTAGCCATTGTTGTGGCTTGCTGAGGCTTCTCTCCTGCGGTTAGTGGCAGCCGGATTGTCCCCTGGGGGATGACAGAGTCCCCCTTGAACCCATATAATGGCCTGGAGGTTCTCTCCAATGATTACTTGGGGATCCCCATCTTTTGCAGGCAATCGGAGTATAGAAGGTCCACCGAGCTCCCGTTGTCCACCATGATTCGACATACAATATGATTTCCAATCACAGCCTCTACCACCAAGGCGTCGTCATTGTTGTAGGGAAAGTGGACCCCGTTTGCGTCCTCCTCATTAAACGCTACGTCAGCACTGCTGAACTTGGCTATTTTTGCGGTCGAGACACTCTAAAATCTCTCCTGGTACACCCCTTTGGCTTCGTGGGCGTACTCTTTTTGAGATCTTCGTAAGTCTCCTCTTATGTATAGACCACCAAGGATAGTTCTTATTATGCCGACGGGTTCTTATTCCTCTGGACGCCTTTACTCCTCTCGGTGTCGATCATCATTTTGACAACCGTGGCCATCATTTCTTGGCATTCGTTCGGCCTTGAACTCCTGCAGTCTTCCTTCACGGATTACCCATTCGATCTCATTTTTTAGATCGGCGCAATCGTTGGTGTGGTGGCCGACGTCACCGTGGAACCTGCAGAATTTAGTCTGGTTCCTTCGGTTGGGATCCGACTTCATTGGTTCTGGTCGGCGCAGCAAGTTCCCTTGACCGATCTGGTTAAATACTTCTTCAACTCCTACTGTTAGCTCATGGTAAGAGTCATACCTTTAGAACAGTCGAGGTTTAAGGCTTTCTTCTTGCCTCGGCTTCTTGGGCTCAGGGGGGTTTGACGTCGAGGCTGTTTGCCTGTGTCCATTTCCCCCGCCTCGTCGTTTCTTATCTTGTTTTCCTGGCGTCGACCTTTGCTCCGAATTTTTATTCTTATTGGATTGATGGTCAGGATCGTTAGCGTCAGCTTCCTCGACGTTGATGTATCCTTGCGCTCACGCCAAGAATTCTTTATAAGTCGACGGTGGCTTACGGTTTAAATCCCGCTTGAATGGGGTAATTTTCTTCATGCTGGACAGAGCCCCCATTAGAGCCTCCCTATCAGTTATGTCCATTGTAGCAGAGACGACTTCCCCGTACCTTGCGAGCCATTCTTTTAATGACTCATTTGGCTTTTGATATATCGTCGTCAAGTTCTGCTTTGGCGGGACATACTTTTTTACTCCAATGAACTGGAGGGAGAAGGCCTCCTTTAGTTCATCCCAACTTGAGATAGAGTTTGGTTTGAGCATACGGAACCATCTTCGGGCTGAATCTGTCAGATGGTTCTGAAAGGCTTGACACATGATTTCCTCAGCATATCCGTGCAGAAGCATGTGCCCTGTGTACATTTCCAGGTGGTCGTCCGGATCCCCTATGCCGTCAAAAGGTAGGATCGACGGCAACCTGTATTTGTCTGGGAGAGGTGGCGCCATAATCTCAGCGGTGAATGGATGGTCGTGTGTCCGGCTGGGAGTGATGTCGACGTTAACCACCTCTGCCACCTGTCCTATGTTCTTTTTGAGACTAGCAACATCGCCTGTGAACTGCTGCTCTAGGCTCATCATGCGCTCTATGATGGCCCGTGCCTCCTCAGTCGAAATTATAGAGCCGACGCCCCTTGAGGCTTCCGCCCTCTGTGCGTTTAGCACATGCCTTGCCTCACTGCCCTTTTGCACCGATCCCGAATCTCCAGGGAGATTCTCACCTGGGTTCTGGGATGGCGCTGCGGCGTCGGCCAGGCGTACTCCCTTTTTCCCTTGGGCTCGGCGTCTGGCAGCCCTTTGACGACTGTGAGGGATTATGACGGTCGAGGCCTCAGATTACCTCTAATATTCTCACTATCCCCGATCCCTTCCGGGGCACCTTGGTGGTCACCATGATTTTAGTTCCCAACCATGGCAGCTCCCGGTGGTCTCGGGGTGTTTTCTAGAGGAGGCATCGAGTTTTTCCCATCCAATCGCTCAACTACGGTCATTAGCGCCTGTACCACGTCGGTCAGGGTGGTAAGCTGGGTCTGCATATGCACTAGGTTGGGCTGTGGCATATCCGGAGGCAGTGCCTTATTTCGAACCAAGGGTTGGTTCTCTCCGTCTCCGTCACCGTCACGTGCCAGGTGCACTGTGCTTTCCTTCATCTGGCTACCTTGGTTGATGGCGGTGTCTTTTCTTCTTGGAGGCATAGTCGTTGCCTATTTCCTTGTGGTTAAATGGCTTAACTAGAGATTCTGGGTTCGATCCCCAGCGGAGTCGCCAATTATTGACGGTGAAATTTCATCAACATGATTACACCGGGTCACCTTTAGGTATCCTGTCAGGTTATCGGCTAAAAAGTGTTTATTTGATATTGAAAATGATGTAGTAAAGCATGTATGAAGTTCGTGGTAAATATAATGGGAGGACTGTGCTTGTATGAAAATAAAGGCACAAGGTTTATAGTGGTTCACTCTATTAATGAAGAGCTACATCCACTTTTCTTTGTATTTCTTTTGGATTCTTTACAATAACTCTCCCTTTCTACTCTCGGGTTGAATATGAAATGAGCCAAACTCAAAGAAAAATCCTCTCCTTACTCGTTTGGGGCTTTGCCCCTTTTATAGCCAATGGTTCCTTCGTGGGCGGTTCCTCTCGTAGGCAGAAGCACTCGAGTGGCCTATCCTCATAGGCTCAGACCGTAGCCCACTAATCACCTTTTGAACTGTACACTCATCCAAGTAGTCTTCCATTACGGCTCTGTAGACCCCCTGTAACCCTCCACCGTTCACTGTTAGGCGGTTTAGGGGCTTGTAATTAATGCCTACACTGCAGACATCTCCCAGTGCCAGACGCAAGTTGGTTGTGTCGGACCCCTTTCTGGAGATACGGGCGTCGCCTCCCATGCTCTTCCCTTGACGTCTACGCTGAGCGGGCGGTGGCCTCTTCAGGCCGCCGATCCTTCCGTGGCGTAGGGAATTTGCACAAGTCATAGGGTTGACGGCATAACGGGTCGACGCCCTAAGGCGGGCTTTCTTCGGAGCGTAAAGGGGGAAGTGAGCTTCAGGCGTCGAGGGTTGTCGCTTTGTGAGGAGAAGTAGGGTCACGTGTAATGCTGTCGCTATCCCACGTGTCACCTGGATTTTCCCACACAACCGTTTTGATGAAATATCCAGTTTTAATAGTAAATGTTTTGAAGCATCCTTTTAGATATGACAAATGAGCACTGTCGACATTGGAACATAAGTTATACAGTACCATTTGTGTTTCGAGCTGTGCCTGGCGGTAGTTTCAGAAGCGTTGAAGTGAACCAAATGCACGATTCCATTCTTATTCCTCTTTTTACATCATTTTTGTGAGGTAAAATCATCTAGAAAATATGTTGTAAGTAACATCAACATGTATTTTTAATAATATTAAAAAGATACATTCATGTTTAAAAAACATATTTTGACACTATGAGATTAATTTTTGAGATATAAAAGGTCCATATTTTCTTTTTCATTAATTAAATAGAAATTAAAAATCCTAAAACTCAATATAAGAAACAAAAAACCGTTTTTTTTTATTTTATGTTTTCTTTTTTATTTTTGTAAATTTTTTAAAATTTTTTATATTTTTATAAAAAAAAACATTGTTTTATATTTAAGTATTAAAAAGGCACTTCGATATTTCATAACCCAAAAATCAGCCTTAGGGTATTAAAATGACGGGTTTTTTAAACATGAAGGTAGCTTTTTAGTACTATTAAAAACACACGATGCCGTCAGGATGTTTTTGAATAACACATAGTATTAAAATAATTTTATCCCATAAATTTTTTTTTTTGGAACAATGTAGAAATGTGCTCATCATATAGAGAGAAAAGTAAATGAAAAAGTAAATAAATTAGGTTCTTGATGCCAAATAGTACTTTTAGTATGAGAGCTGCTAATGATATGGCGAGAGTGGTGTAGGTGTGGTTGGGAAGTAGAGATGTAACTGCCACCGTTGTCGTCATATTTTTTGGTGTTGCGGTGAATGGGATGGATCATGGAGGTCTGGAGGTCGCCAAGTAGCCGTACCAGTTTGAAAAATACGTCAAGTGACCATTAAAGGTACTTTGAACCATAATTCAAATTTTGTAATAGAACTTTTTAAATTTAAATTTTTTAAAGAAAAAATACTGTTTAAACTAAAATAGGGTAGTTGAACCTCAAACTAAACATGCACTAAAAAACACTGTTTATTTTAAGAATTTAGGACAATCAGCCTCCAATATATATATATATATATATAGGACCAAAACTCTTTTTAAACGACTATAAGCTCCAGAAACCTACTTTATTTTGGTTGTTAAGTGAGTACTGCATTTATCGTTTTAATTTAAGCATTGATAACTTGATATCTGTACAAACTAAGAAACAATTGTGTCTTTTCTATTTCTTCTAAGATACTAAAGATTACAAATAAAATTAGTTAGTGAAGACGGCAAGGCTAATGCCTAATGCTGAACCAATGAAGGTAGTGCAACCGTAGTGCAACCTTCTTTTTTAGCAATAGAAACAGCACATCAGAGTATCTGAGTATGGCATTCTAAACGAAATATGAAAATAAATCAAGAACTGAATCCCAAATGCCACAGAAACTTTACAACATTTCAAGTAAAAAGACAAAAAAAATGAAAAGAAAAAGAGAAACGAAAATATATCTTTCAAATTACCAATTGACTCGTCGACTTTTCATAGGATCAATTCCATATACAATTGGCTTATTCAGTTTTGACTAGAAAGCATGATTCAACACTAGTTACCTTTGAGCCGGAGAGTAAATGCCTGCAGAGCAAGAAGAACCGCCTTTAGCCCTTCCTTGGAGGCAGGATCAATCAAGTTTCCGTCACTGTCAAACTTCGCCGGAGGCTGGAACGCATTCAAGAAAAACTCAGGTTTGTTTAGGAAGTGAAGGTCTAGGTAAACTCCGATTTGGCGAAGATGATATTGCGCGCGCCCACCACCAAAACTTCCTCCAGCACTAACAATGGCTGCAGATTTATCAGTCCAAACATTTGGCGGCCTCGATGCCCAATCAATCGCATTTTTCAACGGTCCTAGCATGGAGTGAAGACTCGTTAGCCATTCAAATAAAGTCCTAAACTACTGGACAACGAAAACTTAACATCACAACACGCAGGTGAAGATAACTATTTTGTCTAGTCTAGGAACTGGATGATGTTTTATATGGTGCAAAATGCCTTTTTACTATGACATCGCTTGTGGGATTCCATGACGTGAGCTCAAAAAGAATCACAAGTGCAAAGCTCTAGAAGAAATGCAACCATCTAGACCTTATTCCGCTAACAAGTGCACAAGCACAACAATAAAGGAAATTACACAGAAAATACAGGACGGAAGTTGGAAGTGCTTCTTCATACAGGAGATGAGAACTTTTGATAAAACAACAACAACAACAACAAGCCTTAATCCCATCTTAATTGGGGTCGGCTACATGAATTTCACTTTTTCACGCAGCTCTATTCGAAATTAGAAGAACTTTTGATAAAACACCAACAACAACAACAATAAGCCTTAATCCCATCTTAATTGGGGTCGGCTATATGAATTTCACTTTTTCACGCAGCTCTATTCGAAATTAGAAGAACTTTTGATAAAAGGAAAAATAAAAAAAAATTTGCTCTGTCCCCTTAGATAATATATGGGGGAACCATTGTACGTTCGAATGCGATGCACCGCCAATGCCAAATAGCATTGTTTAAGAAAAAGTGCAAATTTCTTGTTTAATTAATCTGGCTTGCTTGAGAGAGAGGTGTATAGTTTTGAACGAGAATCATGTTTTCATTTTCAAGGTTGAAAAAAGACCCATTTAAAGAGATTTTCCTTCTTTTTAAAGAAACCATGCTATTCTTCCTACTCTTCATTTTTCTTCTATATGCATAGCATCTTCATGAACTTCTTTCTTTAGGAAAATCCTACAACACTACACTTTTAATTAGTTTCACTAAAGCAGTAGACTTTACACGCTTGGTCTAAAGTTTTTAGTTTTGCACTTGGGAAGCCTCAGTAGGGCCACCTATACACAAACAATAAATAAGAGAGAAGAAATCCAGAAGAGCAAAAGAATCCAAGATTACAGTGAAGGAGGGAGATGACTTAACAATTTCAAAAAATATATATCTATTTTTTACAAAATGATTTCAAATATATATTCACTAAATCCTAAGTTAAGCAATTTTTTTTACTATATTCTCGTATACGTTTCTCTAATTTTCCCTTGTTAATGTGTCCCTAAGTACTTAGATATCTCTTTTTTTTTGGCACTCTTAACTACTATTTTCTCATATGTGCTTCTTTTATAATTTTCTATATGATTTACCTGCTGAAATCTTTATTACTCAAATATTTAACTCTGCTTGTCTATACGTATATATTATTCAACTAAAAACATGTTTTGACTGAAACATGCATTCAATCCATTCCACTTAAATATATTGTTCACTAAACTAATCTCTTAATGGAGTAATATTAATTCAAATAGCAAAACTTCAAAATTTTAAATTCACTCATCGAAGATTTCAGTAAAATGATCGATATGCACACACCCTAAAACAAAAAGTTAATAGTATTAGGAGTTCCTGATTCTGTCACTGCCCAAGAAAAACTCCATTAAGCTAAACTTCAGTTCTTATTCAGGATTGTGCAGCTTAGAGTCTTCAAAGTTCAAACTGAAATTTCCAATTGGAATAAAATAAAATAAAATCTTTCCAACTGCGCATTGTTAAGGACGGTTTCTAATAGACAAGACAAGCCTATCTTGAGTTTACCCGTGACTGTAGTAAGTATAAGCAAATTAGCTTGTAATAATAATAAGATATTTACAAAAAACGTAACAATAATAATAATAAGAAAAATAAATACATAAATACAATATACCGATATTTTAGGTTTAATTAGAATATTTCGTCTATTTTGGACTCCAATTGTATATGAAAGACATTTCAATACATATCAAATTTACACCAGGATTGCATTTGATTTTAACTAAAATAATGATGAGATATTAAAGAAAATGACTAAATATTCTTCTAGACGGAAAAAAATTAGAAAAAATTGTTAAAGTTACGCTTATAGTGTTTCATATAAATTTTTATCTCTTACTCTTAAATAATACTTTTTTAATTGATATAATTATTTGACTAAAAAATATGTTAACGAAGAGTAACAGTGAAAATTCAAACTCTTACGTATTTGTCTCTTTTTAATTTTTAATTATTATTGTTTTGTCTGACATGAATTTTTTTTCATTAGACTTGATACATGTATTTACCCAACTGCTCTTAATAATAAATTAATCAGTAATCTTTCCTTCTTTTTGTCCAGCCAAGTTGGAATTTGGAACACTTCAAAAATAAAAATAATGCAATGCTGCCATTATCACGTTACTTTCAGTATTATAAGGTCCAACCAACGACTAAAAAGAAATAAAAATTCCGTTATCCGATGCGATATCCAACGAAAAAGCTCGAAAAAAAAAAAAAAACGTTGAGGGAGAAAATGATAGAGAGACGAACCGGTGACGGAATAGTTGTACTCGGGGGAGGCGAAGAGAACGGAGTCGGCTTCGAGAATCTTCTTACGAAACGCTTCGACGGCGGCGGGGAAAGTGCCGTTGACTTCGAGGTCGGTGTTGAGAAATGGCAAGGGAGAGATGTCAATGTACTCTATCTCTAAGCCTTCTTTCAGTGTAGATTCTTCCTTGCTCAGCTCAATCGCTACAAACAAACAAACAAACACAACAATCAATCGATCAAAACCATTAATAAAGCAGAAATATAGAAGAGAAGCTCCAAAACGAAGAAATTACCAGCACGGAGAAGGCCGCGGTGGTAAGAGCCTTTACGAAGAGACCCACAAAGAGCCGCGACTTTGATTAGCGGTTTTGTCACTGCGGCTTCCATTATTCACTTTTTTGTTGCTCTGACTCTGTCTCTGTCTCTCCTCTGCGAGTTCAGGTTTTTCCCTTTTTTTATAGAAAAAAGGACTACATAGACCGTTTCCGTATGCCGGTTTTACTGACATAATTAATTTTTTAACGGTTAAATTTATTTAAAATTAAATAAAATTAAAAAAATATAAAATAGATAATTTTTTATACATATTTAATAATTAAAAATAATTAAAAAATAAAATTATTAATAATTTTATTTTTTTTGATCTTACAGAAAAAACACCATAGAAAAAATGAGAAAACGGTTGGGTAAGCTTTGTTGTTCGAGACAAGTAAAAAATGTACAAAATTTGGTCATTAAGGATTG